GTATAAATATATACCATTCTGACACCCTATTAGCTTGTACACAACCCATCACAGCTGCACGCCGTTAGAAAATATATGTTTGTTTGTTTTTTTTTGGAGAAGTCACCTCCCAATAAATGTCATTTTGGAAAATCTAACTGCTCACTTTTACTCAGTACTTTTACTTTTAGTACTTAAGTAGATTTTGTGTCAGAAATTTACTTTTGACACTTCAGTACAAAACATATCAGATACTTTAAGACTTTTACTCAAGTGGTATTTTTACAGAAGACTAACTTTTACCAAAGTATTTTTATGGTAAGATACTTGTACTTTTACTCAAGTATCACTTTGAAGTACTTTATACAACACTGCACCCAGCATCATCACTCTTGGGCAAAGAACAGATGAGTGACAGGACAGGGGCACTTCAGGGGCCAATCAAATTCCAGCAGGGGCCAATGCCCCTGTGGCCCCGCCCCTAGAGCCGCCCCTGAGTATAACACAAGATTTAGTTTCCTTTCTTGTATTATTCTGCTACAGTATTTTCAAGGTTTGATCAAAAACACCACAACTTTGTAATTTCTCATCATAGGATGATCTTAGTATAAAAGTGATGGCTGATATGCATTTCTTCAAGCAACTTTAGACTTTTTATTGTTTGTACTTGAGTTATAACAAATATTATAGGTATTAGTCAAAATAATTATTACATGTATATATTTTACTCCCACACAGGAGGATGATGTGCTGCAGCAGATTGAGAGGGAGGTGCGGATGCGGGAGGGGGCCTATAAGCTGCTGGCTGCTTGTTCCAACAGAGATCAGGCCCTGGAGGCCTCCAAAAGTCTGCTAACCTGCAACACCCGGGTCCTGGCTCTGCTCAGCCAGCTGCAGAAAATCAGGAGGGCACAAATCTTACAGCGAGTAGGAAGCAGGTCAGATCACAAGTAAGGATGTTTGTAATTCATTGGATTCATAAGCAAAAGCAAGATGTCTGATTCACAAAAAACTGCTATGTATCCAACTGACCACTAGGTGTCAGAAAAGGTCCCTTTATTGTGCAGGTTGTGTGTTTAATTTTGTGTGTGATCTGCAAATCTCAAAATCACATATTTTCTTAAAAAATGAAACATAGTCTACATAGCAAATGTTGAAATGAAGAAACTGCATAATTAAAAACAAAGGTCATTTTGCAATTTTATTGCAGCAACACATCTTAAAAAGACCAGACTGTAAAAGTAAGGATAACATACTATAAAAGTAAGGATTTCATACTGTAAAAGTAAGGATTTCACACTGTAAAAGTAAGGATTACATACTGTAAAAGTAAGGATAACATACTGTAAAAGTAAGGATTACATACTGTAAAAGTAAGGATTTCATACTGTAAAAGTAAGGATAACATACTGTAAAAGTAAGGATTACATACTGTAAAAGTAAGGATTTCATACTGTAAAAGTAAGAATAACATACTGTAAAAGTAAGGATAACATACTGTAAAAGTAAGGATTACATGCTGTAAAAGTAAGGATTACATACTGTAAAAGTAAGGATTACATGCTGTAAAAGTAAGGATTACATACTGTAAAAGTAAGGATTACATACTATAAAAGTAAGGATAACATACTGTAAACGTAAGGATTTCACACTGTAAAAGTAAGGATAACATACTGTAAAAGTAAGGATAACATACTGTAAAAGTAAGGATA